TAACCGTTTTGACCAATAAGTGTGCAGCACGTTTTAGTTTGACGCCGGATGTGCATGCGGCGCATCGCCACGAAAATGAACTAAAGTTCCAGAAAATTTACTCTTACAGATAAAGAAGGGATCTAATCTACAACCAATATGAATAATTAAAGGCGGTTTGATGAAAGTGTTCCGTATTGATTATAACACGGATAGGTTATTACCTATTGGAATGTGAAACATTTCGATAAAACGCTCAATCATTTCCTACAATACATTCAGTCATTGAATCATATTGACCATGCAGTCAAATGCCTTGTGGAAGGGCATTATGCCCTCATTTTCTGCTTCAAGTAGTCATGTGTTTTTTTGTGTAAGCCATGTAATACTTTAGTTGGGTAATAATTTACAGTTGGTCCGTTTATTAATGCTACAAACTTACAAATATCTTGTCAGTTATATATACATTAAAATAAGATAGTAGGTAGGTAGGTATTACAAATTGCGTAAAAATAAAAAAAATTCTTTACAAAAAATGAACTATATATAAAAGAAAGAACATAAATATGGCAACTCTTGTACGACTTAAAACTAGGTAGGTAATCTAAATTCATTTACACATAACAGAAGTTCGTCAAATCAACCAGCAAGTGGATGGAATGTACCTGCTACATCAAGTTTATGTGGAAATAATTAAAAACAATCCAACTTTTTAATAAAATAACGGTAAAAGCAAACAAATCGCAAAAGATAAAATAGTTACTCCTGACCGAGTTCCTGAATTATCTTTGTCATTTGCAACGCATTTCTGTACATCTTCAAACAATTGAACAAAGTTCTTAATATGTGTAGACTGAGACTGTAAATAGGATAATCCTTGAGTTGAGTCTTTAAACAGTAAATCCAATGTGTTGTTAAATGAATTAAACACTTCAAAGAACTTATGCCTATCTGATCCGAATCGAGTTTCCAAGTTTAACAAAACCGCATTAATGTTGCCCACCTTAGAGCCATCTTTTTTGGCAAGTACCTCACTGTCAATAATTTTCGTCAAGGCACAATTCTCATCGACGATGAAACCTGGAGCAGCAGCAAGGCTTCCATTTTTGCACAAAACCCTGAAGTCATTCGGGTTGAATTCGCTATAATCTAAAAAGAGAATAGATGGAACAATTAATTAACAGTATAGAGTGGACTTTGCTCAAATCCCGTCCGCACTTAAAAATTATAAGACAAAGCAAAGTTACCTTCTTGTGTCACAACAGCAAACTCTCCAGCTTCTTTGAGGCATTTCAAGGCACCAACGTGTCCATAAAACCTATTTTCAGTGTTACTATTACAGTTTACACCGGCTAAAATAAAAAATTATGAAAATAGACAACAACAGTAATTTTCAACATACTTTTGCTTTCTTGTGGATCAGGTTGGCAAAGTTTGCAAAGCTTCTCTACATCAATATTCCCGGAAACTTCGTGTTCCTTGTCGTGCGCTCCTGGCATGCATGACTCAGATACAAAATCACTAATTAATTTCCCATAATCACAGCTTGAATGAGATATAACACCCTGAGCACGTGCTGTATTAATAAAGGACAACCATTCTAGAATTTTTTGTAGAGTATACAGTTTGAAAATGTTGACGAAAAACTTACCAATACCCCCATAGTCTGGAATACATGCTTTTTTCCCTTTCAGATCCGCTAGGCTGTTTATACTGTTATTATCATTGCGTAGAACAATAATAGGTTTGATGCGGTCTTTACTTGCAGTATCAGGGAATGCTAATGGTGCTAGATCTTTCCTAAAATATTCTTGAATAAGCATACTATTTACAAAGTAAAAGAAAACCAACTTTCTAGCTATATATCCAAGGTGTGCATCCGATGCTACAACATCAACTCCACCTATTTTAATGTCTTCTAGGCAAGCAAATGGCGTAGGACTTTGAATACACTTTATGGTAGGTTGTATAGCAACATTTGCACTAGCTTGAGCTAACCATTCACATTTTTGTTGTTCAGCATTTGACACAGTACACCACCTTATATTTTCGCCGCATTTTTCTTCAGTTGATGGAATCTCTCTATATTCTGTAAATCAAATTGTACACCGGTATATGAAAAGTAGATCGAAATGGCCTTACTTGCAATATATTCCAATAAGGTTGGAGCTTCTGCAACAATTTGAATTTTATTATACTCCTGATCTGTGGGAAACAAAATTGGTTGAATATTTTTCGTATCAGCGTTAACGGGTTCAATGTTGGAGTTTGTATTAATTATATTATTTGCAAACCAACTCTGTATATCAGATTTGATGACAGATTCTTTTTCTCTGTAAAGGAAACACATTATAGATGGCAGTATTTAATAATTGGACATACTTATTAACCACAATTAGATTCCACGGTTGTTTACTCCACGCACAGGGATTATCAAGGCCTCTAACCTCTCCATTCTTGCATAAATATGCGAACTCGTCAATTCTGTTTTTATATTCTGTGCTGTTAAAATACTGGTAAACTGTGTGCATAGTTGTAACTGCAACATCTCCACCATTGAGTAGGCAATTGATTGAATCTGTAAACGGTACATTGCCAGCTTTACAGTCGTTTTCTTTACATAACTCGCAAAGATTTGAGTAATTTTTATCTGAAACGTTAAACATTATACATTGAACATTGTACAAAATTACGTACAAAATTCGTTGTCAAATTTTTCAAAACCAAACCAAGGGCCTGGTCTACAAGAAGGCCCAAAGAATTCAGAGACCGCCCTTATTTCCTTTTCCAACAAAGTTGCAGTCGAGACTTTATTCTTGCAACCCTCAGCATTATTTTCTTTCAGAACTGTATTTTCAAACTCCTTCAAAACGAAATCGGTCACAATGTGATTGAATTTGAATCCAGGATGGCAGTATTTTTTACCACGCAAGTTCTTTAACCCACCTGTGTGAGTCTTTCTTACAAGAACAACTACCGCAAATTCCGAATCATCTACAACGCAGTCGGCATTACAGTGCCAATTTTCTACTTCTAACAAACCTAGTTCTGTGTCAGTGCGAAATTCTCCCACCACAACAACATTTTTTAGGAACTTTGCTCCTACAAGAGCCGCCTCTGGTTGGACTGTTCCAAAATCAGCTCTTTTGTTCTCTATGTTTAATAAGCAGTCCACACTGGAAACCATTATTATGTTAAAACAAGTACAACAATGCAATAAATATTTACTTATGAAGGCTGTATTGGCAACGAACGAAGTCTTGCCTTTCAACTTGATCACAGTCTGATTTGTCCTTTAGAGATGCGCATATAGAATCTACAAAGTGTATTAAACCTTAAACCTTCTTAAATAGAACAAAGATTATCAATCTAACTGCATTACGCGTAAGAATGTAGACGTTTCTCTAAAAAAACTTCCATACACCTCAAGATGGATGACTAAGATTTATTTTGAGCATTTCTTAGATATGGAATAATGACTCACGAAGCCAAATGCCGATAAGAATATAATAGGTAAATATTTTTTTATTAAATATGGGGCGTTACGGCCAATAGAATATTAAATATTTAGCAAATTGTAGAATTTAATTTTTCGAGTAAGTATTTGTAAAATTCGGATATTCCATAATCATCAACTTATTATAGGTAGGTAGTATTTTGTGATAATTCCAAAAATATACCCTACGGCCAAGTACCTTATAGGTGGTTGCAAAAGAAATAGAGACTTGTTCTATCCATTTCTGTGCGTTTTGTGACCTACCTAATATAAAACAGACAAGATAACATCAAAGCCTAATTTTTAAAGTACTTAACTGTCTAGTACCTTCACACCTTGAATACATATCATTGAGACCTTCTATATTGAAATTGGTTATTAGTTTTTGAAAATCTCTCTTGCCGATTATATAACAGAATTTACTAATTTATTAATTACACAAGATAAATGCAACACCTATAATGTAAAATGACGATTCAGCATAGGTACTAATAATGTAATAAAAGAAAAAGTATACTTACATGGGTCTCTTGAGTAAACCTCACATAACGTTAGAAAAAGTAACACCAGGACCCGGCATACGCCCATATTTCCACGTTTCAAATTTGTGTGGCGTATCGCACACTGTGAATTTAAAAGTGATATGTTAAAGGTTTATCCAATTATAGATAAGATATGAAATGCAAACAGTATGGATACAGCGAAATCAGTAGGTACAATCAGTTTACAAAAAATGGCTATTTTAGCTACCTAGTTTAATAGCCATGGCCGTACTAATTTTGCAGTATTGCGATACCTATAACAACCTGTCAAGGTTTATATATTATGCTATATATAAAATAAAGACAAATAAAATGAAAAAATAAAAATGAGTAACCAAGAGATCTCTAAACTGAACCCATTCTTAACTTAAATCACGTGAAAGTATATGCTTCTCTATGATGATAGTTAATAGTGATTGTTTCTCCTTTAATTTTTCTCAGAAACCCTAACAAATAGAAGGATAGAGCTTCACGAAAATAACCCAAAATTAGTTACTATCAGTACAACAGAACAAATTTCAAATCCAACTCCGGATCGACAAGATGAAATTTCAAAAAATCTAGAGGGTGCACTAACTATTTAAGAACACAAATGACGAACATTTTTGTGCGGTTCTCTCAAGAAACATTATGGACAGTTTGAGTGGCGGATTTAACCTTTTGCTCCCCATAGGCTTAGGAAAAACTGTCGCACTCAAATAAAGGCTAAAATAATGTGCAAAAAATATCGGTTTGTTAAAGCGATGCATCCCACCCCAGAGATGTAGTACCATCCCGGACACATCCCGGCACCGTTTTCCCGGCGAAAACCCATCTCGGCGACCATTACTATCCCGACATCGATCATTCCGGCGATTTATACCCCGCGATGGCCTATCCTGGCCACTATTGCTTTCCCGGGATCGATTATTCCGGCGATGCACACTTTCCTAAGGACGTTTGTCCAACCCCTTTTTGCTTTTGTGTTTTTTCGAGTGTTTTTTATATAAAAATTAGTGATCAAGCGAACTTACCTTAAGTGAAGTTCGATCATAATTATATGAAGTGTCCAATCCGAAGATATCACTTAGATTATACACCATGTAGTACACCCATGTAGTACTGTTGCGCACTATGTTTAAAGATTAATATTTGAATTTCCCGCTACCCGCGTCTATCTTACTCGACCCACGCCCCTCTACGCTCATTCTTTAGAGATAAAAAGGAGAGGGCCGAATTATTGGCAAGGGGAAAAGACAAAGAGGGAGGGAGGGGAGTGATATCTTCGGATTGGACACTTCATATAATTATGATCGAACTTCACTTAAGGTAAGTTCGCTTGATCACTAATTATATATCAGTGTCCAATCCTCAATATCACTTAGATTATACACCATGTAGTTGTTTAGAGATCTGGATTAATTCGGCCCGTGCAAGCTGAGACAACTCTGTTGTCTTATAAAGTAACCTTTAATAACCGAATATCCTAACTAAACAGTGTAAACTGGTTGTGTATACAACCGAAACTATTCACCGAAATGAAATATGATAGTTTTCTTGTACTAGCTGCCCGGTGATGATAGGGTATTTGAGAGAGAAAGCCCATGCCTATAAGCCGCAGAAGTGGATGCGTGACGGAACGAATGCGGCTTGAAACCATTTGTATCCAATCCAGCCGTAAGCAATGTGTTTTTAATCCAGCGACTGATGGATTGTTTGGTAGCGGTTTTATAAGGCTCTTTAAAAGTAATAAACAGGTAGTCCTGATTCGGAGTCTGAAGGGGTTTTGTGGCCTCTATGTAGTCAATCAAAGTAGTAGCTACACAGAGTAAGGGATTTTCAGCAAATCTTGGTATTTGCAGACAAGGCTGAGATCGATTGGAACCCGACGTTTTAACGGGGCCAGTGATAGGAATCTGTATGCCCTGTGCAGAGGTATGTATGTTTGATAATTTGATTAACTGGATTGTCTGAAGGCGATGGCCTGTGGCCAGAGCTAACAAAGTAACTAGGTTGGCTGACAAATCCTTCAGGGTTAAAGTAAAATTAGGTCCGAGTTTCTGAAGGTACTCAAGCACAACGTTAGGGTCCCAGGTGCTATTATAACGCGGTTTCGAAGATCTTAATCTAGAGATTCCTTTCATAAAGCGCGAAAGACGCGCATCGTTTGACAGCGGTTGCAAATTAATAAGCGCCAACGCGGAGCGATGGGAATTCATGCTACCGTACTGGAGATTGTTTCCCTCGAACACCCGCTGTAAAAATTCTATTATGGAGGGTGCTTGATAAGGAGAGAGAGATCGTTCGCTGCAGAAGTTCCACCACTGTCGATAAGTTGTTTCATACTGTCGCATGGTCGAGGCGGAGATGGATTCTACCATGGTGTCGATGGCACAGTCCGGGACTTCTTTCTTGCGAAAAGCTTCGCAGATAAGTGCGCGGCCACCAGGGTAAGTGTGCTTGACAGCGGATGTTGGTGACTAAAAATAGAAGATAACGTATAAGTTTTTGGAGGAAAAACTTCTGCCTTTTTGGTTAACTCTTGGAACAACGGGTACCAAGGTTACCCTGGCCAAAGAGGTACGACTAAAATACCCTTCAGCTCGATCCTGGATAAGTTTTTGTAGATCTCGTAAAATAAGAGAAAACGGCGGAAACGCGTAAAAAAACTTGTTGGTCCACCTTACGGTAAAGGCATCGACTGCCCACGCTCCAGGATCTGGTCTCCAAGAGACTTACTTTTCACATTTGAAATTGTGGTGGGACGCGAAAAGATCTATCGAAGGCTTTCCTAGAGAATGGCTAATTATATCGAAAGTGGTTTCGTCAAGCGACCATTCGGTATCAGTTGGGAGGACGCGAGAGGCTCTATCAGCCCTCCAATTATTTTGGGAGCTCATGTGTGACGCGAACAACCAAATATGGCGGTGTTCGCACCATTGCCAAATGTCGCGTAATAAGCGGCTAAGAGCAGGATATTGAATGCCCCCAATTTTGTTGATGTACCCGAGAGCTGTGGTGTTATCAGTCCGAATTAGTACATTAACCCTTGTCGAATCCTATACAAAAGATTGTAGGCCATAAAAAATAGCGAGAAGTTCGAGGATGTTGATGTGGTACGTTTTTTCCTTTGGGGACCACCAGCCGTGAGTGTTTGTGTATTACAACAGGCGCCCCACCCAGTCAATGAAGCGTCTGTATATAACTCCACATCAAAAGCATCTTGGGGAAGATCGTTAGAGGCATCTAAACAGTTTGGCTCCACCAGCGTATGTCCTTAAACGCAGTTGATGTCAAAGTGACAAGCGCGTTGTAATTTTCGTGACTGGCAAGAAGTGCTAGATATTGTTCTCTAGCTAATAATTTTGTATAGAGCCAACCGTACTTTGTAGCGGGCCATACCGCAACAAGCGAACCAATGAGAGTTGCTAACGCGCGAATGGAACAACTAGAATTCTTTATTCGATTGTCAATTAAAAGTTTTAAGTGGCTAGCTTTCTCATAGGGGAGTTCAAGCTGCATTGTTGAACTGTTAAATATAAATCCCAGAAACTGTTGCCTCTGGCTAGGTACTAGCGAACTTTTATCGTAGTTTATGAGGAACCCTAAAGTGGTAAGAACGTTTAGGGTATACGCGACGTTTTGTGTGCAATCCTCTTTGGTCTTACCAAAGATTAAAAAATCGTCTAGATAGTTCACGCAGGAGATGCCCTGTTGTCGTAGATGTGAGACTACAGGTTTCAAAAGCTTGGTAAAACAATAAGGCGCGGAACACAGACCAAACGGAAGACAAGTGAACTCAAACAGATTATCCTCAAAAGCGAAACGCAAATAACCCCGTGGTGAGGGGCTACCGGTACTAAAAAAAAATAGGCGTCTTTCAGGTCGATTGAGGTCATGAACGCGTTCCTATGTAACAACCGCGACGCCGTACGATAGTCTTCCATTTTGAAATGAGAAGTAGAGACAAACTCGTTAAGTGCTTTTAGATTTAAAATAAATCTTTGTGTACCATTTGGTTTAGTTCGCAAAAAGATACTAGAGATAAACTGGTTTTTCCAAGGAGTGCAGGGTTGTATAGCCCCTAGAGCTAGTAAGTCTTTGATTGCGGACTGTGTGTGTAACCTCTCTAATTTAGATAAGGTTTTGTAGACCGGTCGCTGTTGCGACGGTTTTGACGAAAACGGAAAGCAATATCCTTTTATCCAAGACAGAGGCTGAGAGTAAGTCGTAATTTTGGTCCAGGTGTGGTAAAAAATTTTAAGCGACCAGCGGGCAGCAATGTACGTACCTCTACTGTATCTGGACGAAACAGTGGAGGAGTGTGATACCGGCGGGGCCTTTAAGTCCTTCCCAGCTTTAGCCACTAATTTTGCAGCTTTTATTTGCTCTCCTAACTCGTTTCCAAAGAGAAACTGAAGCGGAGTAGATTTCTCGACTATAACCTTCACTGATTTGCTTAGAGAAGGATAAATGAGAGTACGCCGGAGTGACATTTGATGGAGAAGGTCTAAATGTATGCGACTTGCATCACTCAATCCTGCCAATAAGCGAGCTGTCAGATCTTGGGAAATAATTTCTTTACTCTCAAGAATTAAATGAACAGCCGAGGCTAAGGCCGAGCTACCGTGACTTAGTTGTGTCTGCAGTTGCAAGTATGCATTGTCACGTTTTAGGTTAGGTCCCGACAAAATAGAACAAATCTCCGGATTAAGAATTGGTGGGGTCAAAGCGACGCAATTCGATGGCAACTGATAAGAGTCGCGCTCCGAAGAAAACAGGCCATTAGCAATCACATGACTCCAACGGGAGTTTAAAGCTTCGTGAAGGTTGAATGGCGCCGGGGTGTTTTGTCGGGGATCCTCTCCTAAGACCTGCAAAAAACCTCCGGCAAATCGTCTTCATTATGAATTTGTAAACAGGAGACTCCCTGTCGTCAAAATCGGGAGGATCTGGAGCCCCCTCGCTGGAGGTTAGAGTCGCAGCTGGCGCCATTTTGCGCGGAAAATGATCAACCAGTCGTTCAGCGCTTGTCGAATCGTGCAAGAAACGATCTGCGCTATGTCTCGGTGACTCCGCGCCGGTCGGGCTGCGATAATCACGAGCACGGCATTACCGTTGTGTTGCCGAAGGTTTTGGGTCTTCTATAACGCCGGCGGCGAAGGGAGCTGCGAGAACAAGAACGGCGCGGCGTTTACTTCGAAAACGTGACGATCACGATGGCGGCGTTTGACCTTGCGAAGCTTACGTTCCAACTTACATAAACGTTTTGCCAAATCTTGTTTTGAAATATTAGCCTCCGAGTCGCTAGAAATGTCCTCTGAGGGACTCATAACTAAAACCCTAAAAACCTAAGGGCAAAAGGAATTAGAAGTTAAAACTTACACTTAAAAACATAAGAAGTGAGGAGCTAACACGATGTGTACGCAACGAGCACTAAAAGGTGAAATGAGCGTAGAGGGGCGTGGGTCGAGTAAGATAGACGCGGGTAGCGGGAAATTCAAATATTAATCTTTAAACATAGTGCGCAACAGTACTACATGGGTGTACTACATGGTGTATAATCTAAGTGATATTGAGGATTGGACACTGAATATAATGTGTGTAAATCTGGTGGATTATTTACGAATAAGCACAAAGTTTGTATTTGAATCTCATTTTCGTTTGGAATTGAGTAATTCTTATTTAAATTTGATCGCTTTTCTAAATTGTTAATTTAGATTTGTGTATTTAATTGTAAAACGTCCAACTTCGTTTTGAAATGCATGTCTGGTCGTTTGCGATGAGGAGTTTTTATCGGACGAAATTTAATTAACGCGCGATATTTCGGCGTAAGTGGGGACGCGTTCATTCGAAGCTGGCCTTATCAAGTCTAAATGTGATTGGCGGTGTTTTTTGAAATCCAGAAGAAAGATTATTTTATAGTGAAAGTGGTGTTCCCATAAATTAACGTAAAAACGCGAGCGCTGCTAATGCTGCGAGCTCCCCGACGGTAAAGAGCGTGTAAATTTGTTTACGCTAAATCTCGGGAAGTCTGCCCTAGTTGTTTTGTTCAAGACGCAGTTCGTGATCGGTTTCGAAATCAAATGTGCAGAAAAAGTTAAGCGGTTTGTTCGTATTTAGAAAACGTTACTTCGTGTGTGAGGAAACAAAACAGTTGTCTGCTTTCTACCGTCATCTTATTTATCAAGCTGTCCAGTTCGAGTCATTGCTTACGTTCACCAGACGAAGCGCTTCATGAGAGCTACCTATAAAGGCGGGAGTAGGTACTCTAGCAAGGTTTCTCCACAGTGCTATCAGTTAATTATTAATTAAGTAATCAATTAATTGTGTGTTTGTTCGAATCCATTGTGCGACTCAGATATAGTCTTCATGTCAGATTTATTTCAGGTTAGAATCAAATCTTTTGTAATAATGTGTTTGGAATGTTCTGAAGTTGATCGAGATCATCGACCCTCTCAAATTGAGGGAGTATTAGGATTTTTCTTTATAGCAGATCACGGGCGTGTACCAGGAAAGATTATGACATTCTAAGTTTTAATTTTGATTGGTTTTAAGCTAGCTATACAGGTGTTCCGTGCGTGACCGCATACTATTGCACACAGCCTTTCATATACCACAAAACTTGATGTGATGAAGCCAACATGGTCAAGTTAGATTTGTAGTCCAAACTCTTTCTTTATTTGCTTCTAATAAGGTAAAGTATGTATTCACCTTCTCTAGAAGATATCGCTACGGTACTTCGTTTTCGTGTATTGCAGCATACGGTACCTACTGACAAATACTTTGAAAAGAAATCCTGTTGTATACTTTCTATCGCTTTCATACCCCGAAGTACCTAGATATTTACCCCAACAACATTTTTAAAATGTCCTATATTTTGCATTACACAATGTTCAGTTTGCTTTTCTTTCTTGGCTTGCGCAAATTCATTAATCTACCATTCTTATCTCGGTACCATAAAAGGCTTTAGTTAGTTTGCACACGACATTTTGATTTATTAGGTACCTCTAAAACCTTGCGAAATGTTTATATAGATATCTTCGTTTATTGCTCATTTGTTTGGGGCCGTCGCGTCGCCTTTCCATTCAGTCAACGCCGTTTCATGCACTGCGCATGCGAAACGTCATATTTGACCCTTCCCCTCAGCCATTTTGGAATTGGAATGTATGTCACAACAGTCTATAGTAAGGATACTCGGCTTGCATCCGGGTGGCTCGAGTTCGATTCTATGTATCAAAACAAATTTTATTTCACAAAATCGCGTTTCCAAATCAGAGGAGTTGGATATTAGGATATATGTCTTCTTACATTTTTTTAAATGCAAACATACAAAAATACTTCAGACATGTTACATGCGCAATGTATGGAACGGCGTGGACGATTTAGAAAAACGTCTTTTTAGGGGAAAGCTATCTGCGCCGGCTCGAGAGCATGAACGCTTATTATGTTGCATCCGGTTTGGTTTGAGCTGTCGTCTAAAGAACATCTTGTAGTTTAAGTTTGTTGGAGTCCGGGATCCATACGCTTCGCCAATGATAGTTATCCGGCTCCCTTGCTGATGAATTCCGTCAATTCTGAAATCAACCGTCGCAGATCCAGCGATTTGCAGGTTGTAGAGTGGCGGCGGTTTGCTTAGGTAATGCGTGGGCCATGTCGCTACGGATGTGGTAACGCGAAGCTTCGGAAGTAGGTATAAGCAAGGCCGAACCGGGACCGCTTTGACCTTGAGATCTGCGCATGCGCCAAGTTCAAGGTCAGTCGATTCGGTTCTGTTTGCCGATGGAAATAGGCTGGTTTATCAGAAACCGGTCGGTTAAAGGGAAAACTGATTCTGTTAAACAGTTAAACAGACTTACCTCTACTGAACTGAGCTGTTTCTATGGAACGGATCGGATTTTAATGAACAGATCTGTTTCTTTTTCCACTTGAGAGGTATACAACGACGATACATACATTTTTAAGAGTTGGCAACCATGCAATTTCTAGGTGAAAAAAAGCTGCCTGAACCATCTAAAAAGCACGAACGTGGGATACGTTTGGCATCTTGTCTTAAATGCCGGTCGTGAACGCGTCGCTCCATAAATGTTTGTTGTTATTTTGTGTTTTTTAATGCAGGTAGTAATCTTTGCATTTCATTATATCGTATTTGTGTTTTGTATGCCACATTTTATATTTTTTGTGTGTTTGAATCTTTGTTTTTGAAATTTACTTGGTTTAGCCGCAATGCAGAATCACATATGTGATACCGCTATGCTATTGTTTGTAATTGTTTACATTTTTGGTGTAATGCTTGCTTAATTTATGTTTATTGATGTTGATTAGTTGGTCTTGTCCCTGAAGTAACATTCATATAAGTTTTGATCATTTTATTTTAATATGTGGAAATTACCGATTCGTTTGATGTATGTACTGACTTGGTGTTTGTAACTAACAATTTTCTCCGTGAATGAAGCAGGCACCTAATTCCGTGATTGTCTTCGACATTCAACTGTAGGCTCAAAACCCCGAAACCAGGGGCGGGTTACCCATCTTGCCGGAGTGGGATTACACTAATCAAAAACAGGAACGGTACAAATGTCAAAACTATGTGTTTCGATTACCCATTCGTTTTCGTTAAAAAGGAACGATGCAGTTGGATTTTTCGCTGTGCCTTCCTTTTGATCTCGTGGCCCGCTGCTAGATGTCGCTGCGTACGCTAAACGAGAGGGTGGGAGGGGCACTGTATCTTGAATGCCTATGCTGGCATTTTCGTGTGCGCCTTTCCGTGTTAAATTAATGATGGAAGAAGCCAGAACAAAATCATGTCCTTAGGTACTACATGCAAGGTATCATTTTAAGATTTGTTTTGTCTCAATTGAACCTTAGATGTGCTTCATGTATTTTATACTCAAATGAGTTATTTTTTTATGATGTCATTTGTATCTCGTTTTGAATAATTTGTTTAGCCACATTTGACTCGATTACTTGATTTGCGTATCTATTTATGTCTGTACTTTGTTGCTGTAGTTGATTTATTTCTTGTATTTGTGTGTGTTATGTTTTTCTTGCTGGTTCTTTTATTCCCCTGGATTTTCTATTTGGATTTGCTCCCCGCAACCAAGCCTCGTGCGTAACAAATTTCATTTTCTTATTCCCTTCCGACGCACAAAAATTCAAAGACAGGCAACGTGAAGTCCCATTTGTACCACGCACTCCTAACGGAATGCTACCGATATATGAAAGGACCGCGAAATATCCGACATTTTGACAATGATAGTTAGATGGCGCTGCTTGTAATTGTTCCCTAAAGTCCCTAGATTACTAGTAATCTAGGGACTTTATATATAGATTACTAGTAATCTAGGGACTTTATTGTTCCATACAGTGACTTTATAGCTTGAGCCCGTGTGTAACGATCACTTATTTAGTCAATTTTTAAATCATTTTTTTAGGAACAAAAAAATTGAACATTTCATACATCAACTTTGATCAATTTTTTGGTAGTTATTTTAGGAACTGAAAGTTGTCCTATTTTTGTAATGTTTAGAACCTGTCCTATTTTCCCTCAATTTTTTAGTAACTTTTGACAGATTATAGGGAATTTGTAAAATTAAAATTAAATTTATATTCATTTTTAAAGCTCACTATAATACGTTGACAGTAGATAGAGACCTTAGTTTACAGAAGATAAATATTTAGTCTCCAGATTTAATATAACATAGGTTAAGTACAAATGTTTACATTTTACTGGTACTAAACAATTGACAATATTATGGAATGTTACATACAGTTTCATCATTTATGACATTTTTAGGATAGCATTATCTTTATTGAAGAAACAATTTGACTAAATAAGTGATCGTTACAAACGAGATTTAGACAAGAAAAGAATATTATAGACAGTGGCGAGCTGGCGACCTTTAGTAAATTTCTTCCTCTGAGGTGGCGACAGTATTGTTTAATTTTTGATTGGTTGTTGAAATTGGCGGCCATGTTGCATCAAGTATAGATAATAACTTTATTTATTTATGAATAAACAATGATAAGGTATTGTATTCCAGTGTACGCAACACATGTCACACGTGTATTGTGCAACTTGATTTTCAATGCAACATGGCGGCTGGGTTCTTATTGTCACCACCTTTATAAAGTCCTGTATTGTAAGTATAGGATAAATAAACATTTTCAATGTCGATTGAGAGACCCCTAAGAACATTACAGATTGCTGGTATGTTGATTGAGAGCCTGCAGTTCTGTTTCTTATAACCCAGCGTTTATATTTAGTGGGTTGGACTGGCCCTGGAGATGGGCGAATGAAAGATTTAGGAATCTGTCGTGTTGGAACACGGACGGTCGGCTAACCCCTGCCTCAAGTGACACACAGATCTGCTAAAAGCGTACGGCGTGTTCTCGTTGTGCCCTTTTTTGTATCCACTGGGGGTATCGTTTCTGTGTGAAATGCTCTTCTAAGAGGCAAACGCTAGGAGTTCTTAGAAGTGCATGGAGCAACTAAAGACAGGATCTACGGGATATTTGGACTGGCCACCCAATATACAGACTATGTGAACTTATTATAATATTTAATGCTTGTGCTTTTTTTATGTTATGTGTCAAATATTAATTCTTTAGGGATTCCGGTAGAGCCTATGATTCGACATTTCATTAATTACTCGACAACCATTTTAAAATGCATGCAGATCATAACAACCAACCAACAACAATTTTAACATTAATTTGTTGGCTGGTTTTTTCTTGGTGAGCTCTTTTATCCCCAGTCATATTTGTACTCGGTGAACTACACATCACTTACCTGCAATTGAGCAAAGATAAGGCGGCATAAGTTGGCTTTGACTCATTCAATTAAATAAAAATTCAAATAAGATTGTATTGAATCTATAAATGTGATTTTTAATGCCTTATATACACACTGACTATTAGTTAACTTAACTTGCAACTTACAGCGATATTTAACTACGTTAAATAATTTCTATACAACTTACTGCACTGCAACGGTTTGCATTTTACAATACTGATAAAACAAATCATGTATGGAAAACTAACAACTTTACAAATTAATACAAAAACCTAGGTACCATCTGTGCGTCTAGATTTAATGAATGCATCGGTTTATACAAACTTAGAGCTAAGTTCGGAAATATCGGCATAAAGCGTCACATAGTTTTCCCTTGTTTTATCTAACAATTTCTATTAATTGACACGTTCTCCCCTATCAAAAATTGGAACTTACAAAATGTGACCATGTGACTCTTTGGTATCACTCCCACCCATTCACCCAATTAGAAAATACTGATTACTTTGTCAATGTGTATTCGGAGAAAGTGTGTCCGGTTGGCAAATTATACAAAAGCACAGATTATAACAATGTATTTAGACGTTTTTTTAAATAAATACACAATAGACATCAATGTATTGCTGTCTAACCACAAAATAGTGATTGTTCTCTTTTCTTTTAAACATAAAAACTGTACGAAATATTCACTAACAATAATTATACTTACGCGTAGGTAATACAAATGCTGTTCTTTAAATTGCTCATTAGAAACACTTATATAGAAATATCCCGTTCGTACCTAGCTAAATGGCACTAAAAACCTCTTTACAGTTTTGACACAATTCGGATTGTTACGTTAGTAATTGGTAGAGCGGAAAAATTTTTTAAATGAAAACCGATTCTTCGTCTCTTCCCACTTCTTGCTATGTGTGCGTTTTCCTGATAACACGTAAATCGTGTGTGGTTTTTTGATTCAAAAATTTGCATGAACACATATCGCGTTTTAAAACCTTGAATTGTATTACAAAATTTGTTTTATTAATACTTAAACGTACGAGTAAGGCTACAGGAAGAAGAAGAATCTGTACACGTTTTTTTTTGCTTGTTTTCTTTAAGAGTTTGGAGAGAAATCTACACCTCATTTACACAAAGTTGTACCTGTACGTTCAAAATTTCAAAGGTCTTAAATGCGTATTGAATTTCGTTGAGCGATTATTATGCGTTTCGTAAAAGCAGCACACAATTTACCTTCAATTATGAAGAAGCTCACTTAAATTTCTGGTGCTTGTGCTTCACCAATTAATTCCAACCCGGTTAGTGAGTGCTTACTTTTTCATAGAAACACCAATGATGTGTGACAAAATTTAATATTCCTCGTCCCTTGTCCCAAATTACGCCTTTTTCTCCTACTTGCAAGGAGTTCTTAAGCTTTTGAGCCATTTGACCTTTTAATTCAACGTTCACCAGAAAATATAGTGCTTTTTAATGAAATTGAGAATGTTATAAAGGTTGGTAGAGCCGGAATCCCAAGCATACAAAAAAAACAATCAATTACTGGTGCTATTGAAGAAAGTATAGAGGGCGCTGTTCTCGACCAAATAAAAATCATCGAAAATGTGTCCACACAAAATAATTTCTTAGAAACTGTTTTGTTTGGTGGAGAAATACAAAAATCGCTCGTTTTTGGCTGCTATAATATACATCCAAAAGAGGGAGGGTAGCGATCATTTTGAACGTACAATCGGTACTAATACACTGGCATGGCTATCCCATGAAAAATAGAAAATAACTTAAGTTGTTATTAAAATATTATCTACAATATCTATAAAAACATTATTAATAATGCACATATAAAGTATAAGTAGTACACTGGGCCAATACGTCTCATAAATGTAGGCTTTAATTTATTCCTTTATTCGCTAACTATTTTTAAAAATGTAGCAGTTTCCCATCTATCTCTATCTACTTATTGCACACTTAAATTATTTACAAAATTGTACAAAACGTAGAGTAGGTATAATAAATAGAAGTTCTCGTCAATAATACCAAGTGATACAATCTCCCGACGAGCGCGCGCACGCGCATTCGAACCAAACGACCAGGTACGTAAAAACTTAACCTAAAAATTTCTTATTGCGTCGATAATGCCAATTTAGTAAGTATCGAAATGATTAGCGGTCGGCAAAGAAAGCTATTCTAGTGACTTACAAGCTTGGTGTTGATACCAGTGAGACGAATTATTTCGTTCGTTCAGTAATGTACACGGTCCCAACCTTATCGAATAACGTAATACCTCCCCTTTGTCTAAAAAAGTAGAACAAATCGAATGGAAAGAAATTGTCATGATTTCGGTTATATAAATAGTGCCTTAAGAGTAGTGCCAATGTGTGCAATAAGGGGAGGGATTAAACATAATTCTTCTAACCGCAACACAAGCGCATCAATCACACAGAGGGTAGTAAGGATCGGGGCACGGGGGAATTTCTTACGAGTAGCTCAGTTGCCGTTCGCGTTACGAGCTATTATCGCATTTCTATTCAAATTGTTTGAGTCTGTGCCGTATATTTTACCCGCTTTCTTCGCCATCGACCCTAAAAGCTCCTGAGATATCTTGTGCGCCGACTTGAGTGACGTTAACCATTCCTTTAGGCCTATTTCGTCCTGCAACAAGAAAAATGCGTTACGTTTCGAAACGGGGCGTGGCTCCGAAATACTTACGGGGTTGGTCAGCACCACTTTACCCTCTCGCAATCTCACTACAATACACTGTTCGTTTTTCACTTGAACTAACTCTGGACTGACTTCCTCCACCTGATCCATGAAGACCATTTCGGGCTTCGCCGAGTCGGGATGAAGCTCCAGCCTGTTCGGGTACAGCTTTGCGTACCGCATTTGCCAACTGGTTGTCCAGGGACCGCCTAATTTCTTAATGTACCCGTGTAGAATGCAGTCCGATTCTGAAAGTGAACCTAACATAAGTGGGTGATAACGAAACGAAATTTAAATAAAGTTTAAGCATACACCATTCCGGAAAAAGGTTGTAAACATTTTAAATAAATTAATTAGGCCAAGAACAAACATTTTTGTTGTACTTTGTAACAGGTGGTCGCTTTGGAATTGAATTTATATTTTGGTAAGCTTAGGTACACATGTACCGCTTCATAGTGAACTTGAACAAAGATATGTCTGGCGATAACGAACCAAATGAAGCCACTTCGGACCTAAACCGTTCGCTCCGTGTGTAAAACCGGGCACGTGACCGAAGTGCGGGGTCTTATTGGTTAAAAGGGGCGCGCGAGACGCAACTGTTTCCTTCGGTCAGAAAATAAGGTCCTTTTTCTACTGGGCGAGATTCAAATGGCGTTGAAATTGAATTTTTAGCGAATTTATAAGAGAACGGGTGTGCCATTTTGGGTACGAGAGCCTTTATTCCGCGCACGTAGGAAGATACGTGGTGCATTTCAAAAACTGGATGTGAATTTTATACAGATAGTAGTAAAGAACTAGCAGTTTAGCTTCGAGTAAAAATCATTAAGTGGCGACAACTCCTAAAATTCAGGTTCATGACAAACTGCTAGTTACCTGTAATTTTATACAGTAGATTGTGGGTCAAAAACATACTTTTTAGCGGCCTGATCGTAGCAAGGTCGTTTGAACTTGTGATGGAACCGAATTAGCCACCTAAAATTCGATTTAAATATTCCCGAATCCGAGCCTGGCGCGACGAAAAAGGTCAAGATTGCGCTTTGTTTCGTTTTCGTGGAACACGTGTTTTTTTTCTTCTCTGCTCTACATTGAAATGGGCCATAATTTACAATAAAAGTGTCAAATATTACGCTATGCCAGCTATGCGAGGAAACTTAATGATCCGTATCGACCCGTCTCGGAGCACGTTCAAATTTCGTCTAGGATTTGTTTAAAAAAAAATGGGGGAATGCGGCAGAAGTATGTGTGCTTTTGTTGAGACCAGAAGTAAATCTTTACGTTGCGAATAGTGAGTGCAGCTTCGACAATTACAAAGGTGATGTACTCGTTTTATTTATCTCTACGTCTATTGCATCCCTCTAATAAAGATATGATCGTGTTCGATTATTTGCCAATTTAACTTTATTCTCGTACAGCATTGATTATTGCCATTTATACTTAACACATTCCAGATACAAATTGCAGTTTTAATTATACTGGTCCTACTGGGGATTACTGACCGATTTACGTGTTTTTATTTATATTTAGATACTGTATGTTCCCTTAGAGGTGATATCCAATACAAGTATGCAGAACTAAATTTTAATTTATAATTGAATTTATTGCAGCACATTTCGCTTTTGTTTACCTGATTATGTTACTGTGAATTTACAGGGTGCCTCATCTGGGGGCGAGTGACGTACGTTAGGTGGTTGATTGTTACATATTACACTTGGCATTGTGAATTAATTACTTGATACCAATGTTTGCCACGACATGTTCCTTTGCATTGTTGTAATGTGATAGTACTAAAAGTTATGTTCCTACTATTTCTTTGAACCGGGTGATTATGATTATTAATATTTCGCAGGGTGACTTGTTTCGAATATGTACTGTGCTATATTTGATACCGATAGTATATCTCGATTTGACGTCGCAGAGGCTGGCTAAAGTTAAGAACTGACATACGCAGAGATATATATTTTATGTACTGTTTTTTTTGTGTCTTCGAGGGGAGCCATCTTGCCAATATTGCTAATCAATTCGTTTAGTCGATCCCTGACATGTAGTGACCGAATATTGGTTTTGTGTCAGTCTTTGTTATGCCAGTGCAAATATGTCAACTGTCAACGGCTACATAAATTGTGTACATTTTGTTTATAATTTGGTATGCGTGCGAGTTTTCCGTTGGTTACTCTGTTATTTACGTTATGTCATGATTTGTCTTTTGATCGGTTATTGTCATTATCATTACTCATGGTAGAGAGCCTGGAGTTCGGTAATTTATAACCAGGCATTTTAAGACTAGTGGGTTGGACGGGCCCTAGAGATGTATGAATGAAAGAGTTGGGGTCCCGCTAGTAGTACATGGGGCTACCGGCTAAGCCCGGCCTCACTTGCGCAGGGATTCGCTAAAAGCGTGTGGCGTGTTCTCGTTGTGACCTTATGGTTGTGTTAAACAACTATATCCTTCCTATGTGAAAGGCTCTTCTGAGAGGCCAACTCCTAGCCATTTCATACAATGCTGACATGTCATGACCAGAGCAACTAATGACTACTCGGTGTGGGATTTGGACTGGCCATCCAAAATCCAAACCTATTATATGAATTTATTGTAATGTTTTTATGATTGTTTTTTTGTTATGTGTGTGAAATATTGATTCTTTAGGAATTCCAGTGGAACCTGGGATTCGACATTGTATTGATGTACTTGACAACATGCATTTATGCCATTACAGACAACTAATTTTGCTATAAAGTTCAATATTAATTTGTTGGCTGGGTTTTTTCTTGGCCAATTCTTTTTTTCCCAGCCTATTTTTATATTTGTACTCGGTGAACTATCATTTTCTAAATTTAATCTTGCAATGCAAATTATTTGGATTAAATCTCCGTTTTTAAAGCATGTACTTGTTTTATTTGTATTCCTTACTTGATCCTCACTCCGAGAGGCAACACATATCTTGTAGCGACTCTTAAAAACACAACGTAGTAAGTGGTCCTATTATTTTGTTATTCAGGTTAGGTAGCCTTTCTAGACGATCACGTGCCATGGGGTTCAGTTAGTTTGGGAGGGAAAGTTTCAAATTTAAATCTTGAGTTGCGCAGTCTCTCGGGACTGGCCTGGGTACAGCACAAACTTTAGTGCCAAGTTCGTATTCCAGAAGGTAGAAACGAAAGCGTGATCACGAGAATGTGAAATCGTGCAAAGTGTTTCTCTTCTTCTCTTCCCAATGTTGTAAATAAAATAAGATTCACTGTGTTATAAATGTTTAATAAAAAATGGCAGACTTTACTCGTACAAAGACAAACACATTCTCCGCTCAAAGTCGCACGAAAACGCCAAGCGCTCGCCCGCTCACGCCACCTCGCCGCAGTCACATAAAGTGACACAAAGATCTCAATCTAAACTTTCTGATTTACAAAGGGGCTGAAGCAGGTGGAACTAAATAAAGCGAGAACACAGGCGACGAGGAAATCAGCAAGCCATACATTGAGAAAGGTGACAGACCAATGTCAATCAAGGGAGAGAACAAAAGACGGAATTGATGTGGAAATGCGACAATTGCGGCGATCCAACACAATGAGCTACAGGTTGTACGAGGCCAAAATAAGCAACTGCTTTACGTGCAGTAACGCAGGCCATATCAGTTGGAAATGCCCAAGCAGGAAGGAAGTGGACCAAACCGTAAACCAATTAATTGAAAAAAGACGGACCTGGCAAAAAATTTATATGGACGATCCGTACCTACCAATGGCGAAAATAGTCGAAAGTGCATCTTGGATATGGGCGTGAGAGTACCATGTGTGAAAATTCAGTGCGTGAAACCACAAAAACAACGTTAAGCGGTTCCGGGAAAAACAACATAGTGACAGCGCAAAAGGGGTGGTGATAGCGGACGTGATGTTGGATGAGGTCGAGTTGAGAGGCAGGGCAAATTTTACGTGCTACCATCCAATTAGGGGAAAAATTTAAATGAGCATTGGCTCACATTCGTTTCATCTGCAATGAGAACCAGTTCAGCCACATGGAACTAAATTGGCACGTGGTATAGTTAGTTGAGGACTTTATACACAAAACTACATTCATTACTCCTGACGAGGCGGGGGGGAGTTTCAGAGGATGCCTTTTGGATTAAGCAACAGCCCAACCAATTTTTCAAGGTTAATGACGAAGGTTGTACGACGATTACGAAAGGGAATCAAGATGGCGAATGGGACAGTGTTGGTTGAAAATGTAATGTAATTTGCTTTCTTGTGGATTTAGTAAAAAATAACGTTCAACGTTCAACATTATGGGTCATACAGGTCTTTGCCAGCGAAAACCTATTGTCCTTGAAGACAATTAGGAATGAGCATAAAAGCGGTAGATTTTTATGGCCATTAAGATACACGTAGTTGATGAAAACCAGTTTCTCTATAGTTAGTAGCGGAATGTGTCTGAAACCTCAAAGCCATAATGTAGATCATGGACAGTCGTCTGTGACGGGCTGTTCACCATCGTTGTCAAAAAGGGACAGAAAGATGCATGTGGACCTCCTAAAGGGAGATGATGGTAAACATTCACAAAACAAAGGGCCATCATGACAACCAGAACGGGGATATCGCCCTTACTCACAACAAAAGAAGAGTTGCGTGCCGCCACGTACCAGGTGAGACGAGGAGATCAAGAAATCACTACCTACCATCAGAGGGACCTGGATGTAGTCACCAAAACTATGGAGGTGTGAAAGCGGATGGAAAAGGTGTTTATTGATCAAATACTGGGCGCTACACGACGCCGAAGAACGATGTACGAAAGGTGGTAAAAGGCATGCTTCTTCAACTGTTGCCAAGAGGGGCATTACAAAGACAGGTGCCAAAAAAAGTGTTCGTCCAAAAATAGGTTGCATAATCTGCCGTGAAAACAAGAGACCAAGAGCTGGGTCGAGCGTTCTAAAAAACCGCTCGAGCGACGAGCGCTCTAATTTTCTCAAAAATGCTCGCGAGCATCGAGTTATTTTGTAAAGCGGTTTATCGCGAGCGCTCGGGAAAACTGCTCGAGAGCGGAAAACACCGCTCGGGAGCGGAAAAAACGCTCGCGAGCGGCGGTTAATCCTTCAGCGCTTGAGGGCGGTCAAAAGCACTCACGAGCGCAAATAAACGCTCAGGAGCAGAAAAACTGCTCGCTAGCGAACAAAGAGTTGCGAGCGGAAAACCGCTCGTGGGCAGAAAAAAGCGCTTGAGCCGCCAAAAATCATTAAAGGCAATGACGCCCGCGCAGCATCTGCCTTCTCACCTGAAGACAAAACCTACCTTTCTCATCCAAGTCGAACAGCTTTTTCTGTTTGGCCTTCTTTTTGTGTTCCGCCTTATCGGCCTCAAAATTGATCGTCTCAAAAACGGTCTCCGCAACTTCAGCCTGCCATCGTTCCGATATTACCAGCGGAAAATTCTTATATAACTCTTGATCGGCGTCGGTTAGCTAAAAGATTCCTCTCGTGCACAAAAGAAGGAGTCCTGCCGGAAATTACCTTAATGCCCTTGGTGTCCTCCTCGTCGAAGGAGCCGATATCGAAGGCGTCCGCCGCGTTCACCTCGCCCCGCGGAGGAATCAAGGGCGGCGTGTACTTTTGATGGTACACTTGTTGCCAATCGATCCCGCCGAAAAACGGGTGATCTTTGACTTCGTCCGAACTATTGGGGAAAGTTTAGAAATCGACAGTTACTGTCAACACGCTACATACCCATTTCCTTTACATCCTAACCGTTTGTCCACGTCCCTTTGAAGCAGGCCCTCTAAGAGTGACTTTAATTCCTTACTAAACGAATCGGGTAGCTCTACGTTCTGGAATTGGCAAAATTTAGTATGAGAACCAAAGGGCGTAATTCTTATCTACCATTGTTAAAGTCATTCTATCAATTTCGTGCTTGTCTTTGGTTTTGTGCTGACGAAAGGGCGAATGCCCTTTAAGTAATTTATATAACATACAACCAAAACTAAACCAGTCTGCGCTAGAATCGTAGGCAGTACCTTTAGATAATACTTCTGGTGCCATGTATCCATGAGTTCCTCTAAAATTCACAGAATATTAATACTTCATTTTACATTCAAGAAAGAGCTGCTTCGCCCTTGATTATTTAAGTGATCACGTGATCCGAATTTAAGATGGAACTGGAGTGGGAGGACGCGTGAGGTTCGCTTTTTGTATGTGGCGCCAATATTTAGTGGTAAAAGTGCTAAATATTGTTTCATAGTTAGATTTTGATGGGATATTCAAATTTGGCGCCTTATCTCAGCATAAATTAAGTTTTGGATATATCACCACATTATTTACTGTATCAAACACGCAAAACAAAAAAGCTAAGTTCCACAGCGAGTTATAACCTAAGGAGCTACAAGTCAAGGAGTCAGTAAGTAAAGTAAACATGGAAGGAACTGTGGATGGGAGGAGGAGTAGAGGAAAAAGGAGGATGAAGATGATGTGAAGGCAAAAGAGATGCAGAGAACTGATGATGATGATGATGAATTTCGTGCTTTTTATCGCCAAGTCATTCAGCGCAATTCCAGGAAAAAAAATGTCATTACTATCATATAATTTTATGGTATTTGCCAAGGTTTACAAATTTTGTGTGTGTGCTAAGTGACCCTAGCATTTAGTAAACATTTTCTTCCTAAATTCCTAACTAAAATGGCGTACTTCTAAAAAATTGGAGTATTGCAAAATTTGATTTGTGGTTTTTTTCAGTAAGAAGCTGAAAAGGAAAATTGGAGATTGTGAAGATTGTTGAAATTGCCTTAAAAGTGGTGCACGTGCCGTTCGGATGTAAAGCTATGGCCGTTTTTTTTGTTTCTCTAGAATACCATTCCGTCTAGGATCAAACGCGAAAGACGAGTTTTGGAAACAATTTTTAAAATTGATGAGCTCATATCCAAGAGACTACAAAAACCTGTTAGTTCTAATCTTTTAAGACTGTGTAGGTGTAGCCTTATTAGTGACCATTACACACCTTCTTCACATCTTTTTCGCATCTACCCGTATTCCCATGTTTCAAGTGCTGCATGTTTTACTCACAAATCTCGCTCCTATCCACTCGAACGAGTTTACAGTATTGCCTACAGATGGCAACACTTATAACCGACGAGTAGAACTAGGACGCTTTATATGAAGATTTGCTTCAGTCCATTTACGAGTAAAAGTAGCGATGCAGGGGTGAACCTGGCCAAGTTCAAGGTCGCCCGCCACTTCGCGATGACCTTAGAAAGTAATTCAAGGTGCACGGGCATTTGTTTTTAAGATCGTCAGAGGTCAATGACTCCATTTTTTGTGTTCATATATTACCTTCAATGCTACCAAAGAGGCCAACGACCCCATTTCACTCCCACGGTCATTAATGGTCATTGACCCAATTTTTGTAGTGCCATATTATTGGTAGGCAAAGTTTAATGGCCTCATTTGTCATCTTATTTCATTTTCAAGGTCAATGGTCCCATTTTTGTGGTGCCATTTCATGTTCAAGGTTACTCCAGATCAATTACCCCCATTTCTATGTTGTGTCATATTCTACTTTCAAGGTCATCAGAGGTCAATGCCTCCTTTTTTGTGGTGTCATTGGATTTTTAAGTCAATCCGGTCAATAACCGCATGCTTGTTGACCTTGTTGTTTTTAAAGGTCAATAGTCCCATTTGGTGGTGTCATATTTCATTTTCAAGGTCATCAGAGGTCAATGGTCCCATTGTTTGTTGGTGAAGGAGAGGTTTCAAGGTTATTCGTTACTCCTGGAGGTGCCCTTGCAACGTGGGTCAAGGTGAAACTTAGAAGTGAGTTCTCGCTTCCAAAAAAATAAGGCTACTGACCTTGAACATGAAATAAGTTGACAAAAATGAGGTCATTGCACTTTGAGAAGTTTGAAAATGAAATGACACCACACAAATTTGGTCACTGACCTCTGTTTCATTTGAAAATCAAATATGCCACCACAGTCATTGACCTCGGATGACCTTGCAAGTAGAATATGACACGGCAAAGAAATGGGGGGTAATTCAGCTAAGATAACCTTGAAAAAACGAAATGACGCCACAGATATGGGACCGTTGACCTTGAAAATGCGATCCATTGAACCTTGACGACCTTGAAATTAAAATGGCATGACAAAAATTGAGTCATTGACTTTTAATGACCTTGTGAGTAAAATGTGGCAGCTCAAAAAAAATGGAATCGTTAACCTTTGGTAACCGTGAAAGTGAAATATGACAATACAAATTGGTCTCTGACCTTGAAAACGAAGTCCCTTCCACCCTGCCGTACTTTCCAAGGTCACAAACACACAAAACATATGCGAGCGCTCGTAGTGGTCATGGATCGTAATGGCAGTTGGAGATCGTAGGCTGAAAAATTTCCTTATTTATGTTTGTTCCCCCTTGAAAGCTTTTGGATCTTATTCTTTACAAAAGCGCCAGCAGCCGGTTAAAAAGAAACAAGGGGATAAAACGCAAATTAACAGAAATTGATATGACCAGCGGCTGTGTCGCCGATGGGTCTCATGGGAAGATGGGACTACCCCTAAATGGTTGACAATTAGTGAGCACTTCTTTTGTTTTATATTTAAAAGCAAAACCCTAGTATATACACTGAACTGAAAGTGGCGCTTTCTTTTTAGGAATTGCTTTTAAATTTAGAAACTCAAGATCTAATTTAACCAAAATCATAGGTCTGTAAAGGTCGGGTTATGATCCTTTCTTTCTGGATCAATAGATACTCTATGGTTTGAAATCACACCCCCAACAAGATTCATTTACGCCCTTTTCATACCTGCGTTATCTTTCTTTTCGACTCCTTCACCTATTGCCCATGAATCACTCACACCTACTTCATCACCCCTTTACGCCTCCTAGTTAATAGCCTTCTGCCTTTGTCAGCCTGCTTGGCGCCCCCTTATCAGCTTACTTCATTCCTGTTCCTATGGGCCTTTACTTTTACACCTATTCAAAAATCCTTCAGCCGACCCCTATCCCATCCAACTTCCTCATAACCCTTTCACTCTCTCTCATTTCCTTCCAGCACATCTTTCACATAACAACTCCATATTTTTGTATAATAGACTTTTGCAGGTACCAACTTTTTCTGCTTCTGCAACAAGCCATTGAATGGAACGGTGTATTATCTTCTTCAACTGTTTTATTTACAAAGAATTGCTCTTTAAGACGCTTGCAACGTTTAAATTTGTTGCGCGTGCGCGTGCTTTAAAGACTTTATTATACACTTGTTACCTAATATACTATTTTGCCACCCACTGGCCACTACACACAAAATTGTTAATTTAAAACAGTAAATGACACAAAATGTTGCGTCACTAATAAAACAAAATTGATTGATTTATTGAAAGTGCGGCAATATGTTGGACCCATGTGCTATTAGCAATCTGTAAAAAAGCACAAAATTTACAATAAATAGCACAATACTAGCTGAGAGTTAGATGTAACCACTTGTTTTTGTCTTGATAATCTTTAAAATGTAAATTGGCCGAATAAATAGCACAAAATTACGGCTATAATTCTATTCTATTTTGCTGAATGCGATTTCGAACTTACACACTGGCATGAGGTTTTTTCTTAGAAAAATCACAGGCTAATCCAAGATCGGATATTCGAACATGTCCATGTTCGTCTAATAAAATATTGGCAGGTTTTAAATCCCTATATACAATATACCTCCTATGCATGTGTTCCAAACCTGAAAAGAGGGCTCGATTTGAAAAACGTCCCCGCCGTGAATCAACTCACCTAAAATTACTTCAGCGGCGTAAAACTTCATCTCCGATTCATTAAAGACACCATGCTGACTTAGATGATAGTGCAAATCGCCGCCGTTCATTAAATCCAATATAAAACATAACTTATCGGGTGTATGAAACGCGTACGTCATACAAACTATAAAAGGACAGTCTTGACCGGTGCTCACTAGCGACAACATAATTCGTTCGTTTAAAGCTAACGTCTCCCCCTGCTTCATTTTTATCCTTTTCTTATCTAAACATTTCATGGCATACATCTTCCCCGTGTCCGCCTTCCGGCATCCGTACACTTCTCCGAAACCGCCTCGTCCTATTATCCTATGCACACTAAAATCGTTCATTGTTAACTGAAACAATCCAACTGTAGACGCGCAATAATCATCTAATCGACGACTCTACCTGTATATTTAATTCTAAATTCTTCCACTGACAAAATCTAGTATATTTTTCACTGAAAGTAGAAAAAACAGTTAGCACTGGATCGAGAAAACGGGGCGTCTTACCTTTCTAAAAATTTTTTAAACGGCTCATCCCTTAAGTGATTATAAATTTCTTCTATGTAAGGCTGAAAGACGAAAACAAACGTTAAACTTTCACTTATTTGCAATTACTCAACATGCAGACTCGCGACGCAAACCGGGCTCCAAAAAAGATGCCTACCCACTGCAGTATGTTTCTGATATGGTTGATCAGATGAAAAATGATGCGGTTGGTAATCCTGAATTTGATTTATTTGAGTTTAATCGTATGGTATACCTTAATGAAACATAGGTTACTGTGCTACCTCGCGACATAATTAAAGTCTGCTCGTTGGGTATAATTAAAAGAGTGTCGGTGGCGAGTACGGCATACGGTACAAACGTTCTCGTAACCCATTACTTTCAAGTTTAATGATTTTCAAAGCGAAAGGTCGTAAAAGTTTTAAACTCGTTAATTTCCTTTTCGAACGGTAGCTACTACATAACGAACTTACCTCAAACAATGAAACGGGAACATCATTTTTTAGTAGATGCTTTTGAACGTGCTGCAAGCACTCCTTGGAATAGTCCTGCGGAAAAGAAAAAAAAATTCTATTAAAACGATCGTCCGATAAACCGCGTCCATTTTCGAGGCGATAACAATCCTATTTCGCTAACTTTGTTTTTGAGCCATCGAATTTGGCATTATCAAATTACAAGGGGTTAGAACAAGAAATTGACTTTTTTTTCTCGTTTTCTGCCGAATCGAATGAAGGCGGAAGAAGTTTTTCGCGGAGAGAAAAAAAATGTAAATTATGTGTATCGGAAAAAATCGTCTGAGTAAACTCTGTACCATTAATCATTTTCAAAAGTGTATTTTAGAAAATCCCTTATAAAGTTTGCGTGGAGTATTTTACGAGATTTATGTGATTTTTTTAATGGTACTACAATGTTTTGTATAATAAAGCCTCCACCCGGAAATTTGTTTTCTATTTTTGTACCGAAATGTGAATAAACCGCTGAACTGCAAGAAAATCGTGTTCTCAGTTCTGTAACTTAAGACTCTTGTGCATGTTCGAATTTTTTAGATCTACAAATTGTTTATGTCATGTCTATATTCGTTTGGATATTTTAAATTTTTCAAAGTATTCAAACTCTCTCTTTCAGATTCTAATCCAATTTTTTTGGTTCATCGAGTTAGCCAAATACTTGAATTTCTTCGAACTCGTGTATTCGGATTCTTCCTACTCCTGCCTTTCGAGTTCTTCTGAACCTTAGTTTTTTTAATCGTTCTATTTTTCAGATTATCCGATACAGGTGTTGGTTAATATACGTAAAAAGTTGGGAATAATTCTTTGTTCTTTCGCTTGGTTTAAGAAATTTAGGTGTTGGTTAACCAACACCTAAATTTCTTAAACCAAGCGATAGCCGATACAGATTTCAGTGAATTTAGCCTGTCTCTAGAGAATTTATGACGTCGTCAAGTTTTTGACCCAAAATCATATTCCACTTCCAGAAAGAGGTGCAGTTTGCATTGGAAACGTGTAAAAAATACGCGAAGAAGATGTGAAGGAAAGAGGCGAGGAGGAACAGGTGGAGTTAACGAGGTGTAAAGAAAGTTTGGATCAGAAAAAAAAACAGAAAAATGCGAATGAACTAAAGTATCTAAAAGGCTTCCAATGATCCCAAGAATGTAAGTAACTAAAGAATCTCAAGAGTCGGCAGAATTAAAAAAAAATGCAAAAATCCAAAACAATTGATGGATTTGAAGCATGTTCAAAATTTTACAAATCTGAAGGAGCGGTATAAATCTGAAGAAAGATTTTGAAATAATGAAGAATTTGCAGAAATCTGAACAGTTTTATGGATCTCAAAAATGTGAAAGATCGAAAAAATTCGAAGAAACGGAAGCATCAAAAGAACCATAAGAATCCAAAGTTGCTCATAGACCGAAACAAATTAAAAGGTATGAAACATTCAAAGAAACAAAAGAATCTAGGGAACTGAAACTGAAATAAAAACACCAAGGAACCACAATAAAACTTTATTGTATGTTATGTTATGTATGTATGTAATTTTGATGTGGTTTTCTGTGTTTCAGTTTCAATTCCATAAATTCTTTTGTTTCCAGTGTTTTCAGTAAAAACATTTGAAGAGTTTGGAGATAAAAAACGGAAAAAATGTAGTATTGTTAAGGATTAGAAACATTATAGTAAACTGAGAAACCGCAATTATTTGATGGGTATTAGGAATCGAGTCTGAACAATCAGAAAGAAAAAAATGAAAGCTCTCTCAAGATTTGAAAGACCAAAAGAATCTTTATTCTTGAAAGATCCTTTAGATTCTTGGCAGATTATTATGGTATTCAGTAGTTCTTGGGACTCGCCGAGTTTTTTCAGAGACTATTCAAGGATAAGTTAGAGCAGTGGTTCTCAACATTTTAGACACTTGCGGCCCCTTTTTGGGTGTTTTGCCGTACCCTCCTATGAATTATAATTTCTTTAAATACCTAATAAAAACGTCTATAACATCATATTAGATAAAACAAGTAATCATCCAGTTAACTTTACAATCAGTTTCATAAAAGTACTCCCATCCCTTCAAAAGGCGTGTTTCTTTGTAAATAAAATGTAAGAATAATGGTTTTTAATTTTTTCCCTGTACATGCCCCCCCCCTCCCCCTTATTAACTAACACTTACGGCGAACTTCGCACCGGCTTTAGGAAATCCTGTTTTTTTCTTTACCTACCCCGTTCCCGTGGGAACTTCGGGGAGTTCTTTTGGAGTACACGGTACACCTCAACAACGCATTCAAAAAAACCTACGTTCTAAATGTCAATTCCCTTTCGACTGTAAAACGACGAACTTCGTATCGCCTATCACGACGAACCTCGTATACAACGTGTCCTAGGTAGAACCGGCAATGTACTTTTTGCAAAGGATCCACGAGGCCTCTGAAATGAGCGTTGAACGTACTACTAACGTACTAACTTCAAATACGTATCAAAGGGTTCCTGGATGCTTCACGAAAAAATACATTAATTCTGTTTCCGTATATGTTTTCCCTGGGACACCCTGTATATGGGTACATGGTAACATTTCCATATAATGCCATTACAGTGTGCACATTTTAAATCCTTTGAGGTTTTGTGAATTAAGCGATTCAAAGACACAGACACAGTGTGATTTGTTGCAAAAAACACACTGTGCACATTTTAAATATCTAAAAGTGCTAAGTGTGGGTACCTGCACATGCAGGAATCGCCGATCGCAGACGAACTAGCGAAAGCGACAAGTGCACCACCATTCATAGGACCCGAACCGGCCTGTGGGATTTCGTATAACACAGCCAAAAAAGAAATTTAATCAAAACCTTACGAAAGAAATCCTGACTTTGTTAAAGAAACATGCATTCTTGAAAAGTAGACAATACAGAGGGAAGCACAATAGACCAAAAGGTCGCAGTGTAGAAACCGACTGGAACTACCCTTAGTAGTAGTAGCTCATCCCTCTGTGTCTTCGGGTTCATCGAATTCCTCCGGTCGTCGAAAGTTTCGCTTCTTCAAATTCATCACGTTCTTCAGTTTATTCGATATCTTCCAATTGCAGAGTCAGTGGAATATTGAAAGCTTTCTGCTTCTCCAGATTCTTCAAATCTTTCACTCTTTTTCCCAGTTCTTCGTATCTTAAAACCATTTGGTTTCTTCGAATTCTGCGATTTAGTTAAGATTCTTGAAATTGTTACTTTATGATCCTTCAGTTTTCCAGATTTTTCGGTTCTTCAGATTTGTCCAATTCTTCAATTATTTTGGATTCTTGGTAATTATTCAAAATCTTTCATTTCTGAGAATTCAGATGTTGAAATTCTTACGGATTTTTTATGTTCTTAAATTTTTTAAATGCGTCACATTCTTGCGTTTTTTTCGAATTCTTCCAATTCCTCAGACCCCGCCTCTTCGGATTCTTCTGGTTCTACAGATGAAATTCTTCGCTTTCTTTAAATTTCCATATCCCGATCCATGATTGCATTGATTCTTTAGTAATACAAACTGGAACACACAGCAAATCTGCGCTAATAATGACAGCTCTGTGTCGAAACTTTTTTAGATTCTTCCGTTTTTCTAGACTTTCAAATTTTCCAATTCTTCAGTTTTTTTAAACTGAATGCTGAAGACTTTCCATTTCCCCAAATGATTCCACTCGGTTTCTTCGAATGTTTCACAGTATTCTTCCCAATTTTTCATACTATTCAAACTAGTCGGATTCGTCATGAGTTCAGATTCTTCGTGTTTCTCAGATATTTCTAATTCTTTAAATTCTTCTGATTTTTCGGATTCAAGTTCTTCCATTTCTCTGGATTTTTTCGTTTCATCAGTTCTTTCAGATCATTCATCATCAGATTTTTCTAATCCTTCAGTATCATCGACTGTGTATTTAGCTTGTGTCTGTGAATTTATGAGGTCAATCTTCTGGTGCAAAATTCCATTCCACTGCCACAAAGGGGTGCGTAATTTGCGCTACAGTCACATTGGAAAAATATTGATACAATTTTAATTGAGACAAAATTTATTGACAGACTCCTACAATGTATTCTGTGCGATGGGAAAAAAAGGTCTAAAAAAAGTGGCGTAAAAAAAGCGTTAAGGAAGATGTGACAAGTGAGGAAGGAGAAAGGAATAGTCGAAAAGATACGCGAAAAAGGTATGTGGAAGTTTTTTTTCTTGAATTTAACGTTAGGTTTAGCCCTTTATACCCGAATATGTACGAGAAATCCGTAGTGGAGCCAAAATTTTACTTTTGCTGGTATAGTCATTCAATTCTTCTTGAGTATTAATTACGGTTTTAGTATACGATTGTCTCAGTGTCAGACGTTAGCATTGCTTACGCAATATTTTATGTGCCGCGCTATTCACTACCCCATTTATTTGTGTGTTGGTGTTATTCGTCTGTTACAGATTAGGCAGAAAGCGTCCTTCTTGAGCTCAACAAGATCGTCGCGACTTGTACTCTTCAAAACGTATTTTCGTCGACTCTTTGATATAACGTTTGATTACACAATGGTTTTCGATACAATAGAATTGTAACTACCACCTTTCTTTGAGATTGAGATAGTCAGAGGGCCGAGTCGGGATGTGTATCCTAAATAATACACGTACTCGCGACGTAACCCTTTCCCAAATAGGTATGAGCTCCATTTTAACTCTTCAGGGGGTTATCTCCAACGACGCATTTAACCCCAATCGGAGTGTTCGGAGGTCTAGCACAGCTCAGCATCAGTTCGGGACTAACGCCTCCCGGTGATTTGCCTAATTAACTGGCGAGGATCGCGGTTAAACAGTCGCGATGCTTGTTTACATGGCCCTCGAGCGCGAAAGACGACCAGTCAGACTGAATGCTGCCATGTCACCCCTTAACGTAGATTACAGAGGGACGATTCTAATGAAAGGTGAGTTTACAGTAGATTTGTCGCATCTTAATAATGAGTTCTGACCAACAACTAGTTCCCATTTAATTAGCTACTTCCCTTGTTCTTTAAAATACCACCCCTTCCGTCCCCCGTCATTGCAGTTTTACTATCCGATTGCCGAGTGCCAGACGTTAGCATTGTTACTTCGCAATATTTTATATGCAGCTCGATTCACTACCCCTTTTATTTGTCTGTTTGTGTTGTGATCTGTTACAGATTTGCAGAACGTGCCCTTCTTGAGCTCAACAAAGCCTTTGTAGTTCAAAAGGTAATTTTTTTTATTTTATAGCTTCGTTGTTTTCCGCGGAAGCGATTTTCTCCGACTATGTGTTGATCCTTCTCACTTCCGACTTGTACTGTTAGAGAATCCTCTACGGCATCTCGATTTATTTCAATAATTCGTGGATTTTCCATCGACTGTACGGACCTGGATCAGCTTCTTAAATTGTCGGTTCCATATTTTTTGCCGTACTATTTAAGCGACATCGCAACCCTTTGTGACTTTTACTTTTACAAATAAAACATCAATTCTTCATTAAAAATTCTGTTTGGTGGTATGGCCCAATGTACGTTTTTGGACTCAATGAATGACCCCACCGCAATAATATAATTTTTTTGAAATACCTTCAATTGCACCCTTTCTGGATTATAAATTTTCAGTTGACCTTGCTTCCCAAAAAGGGAAGAAAAATTTCTCTACAGTTACGATTGATTAATTATTATTCAAAATTTGGCTGTCGTTAAGTGGCTGGTATCTCAGCTCAGATTTTCGTCTTTGTACTTTGTACTTTAACAATGTCGTAATTTCGACACGTAAATAACGGAAAAAATGTAAATGACACTAAATTACGCGAAATGGAAGTCACGTCGCGCCGTTAAGACAATAAAAATATAGCTAACTGTCTTTTAAACGTACCGTCCAATTAGTCTAATGGAAATCTAACGAAATATATTAATAAAAGTGACATAAGAAGAAAAGAAACGGGAGGAAAATTCTCCGATCATCATTTATATTCCAGTCACGATGCCTACCATGTCATTTATTCAAGGATATGTACGGAATCAAAGAGAGAAAAAAAACTTACATGAGTGTGGGATAAAAGTTCTTTCATAATAAAATTATCGTAGATTTCTCTTGTTAACTTCAGTCGCTCCTCTACCGTTTCCAATTTCTCGTACGCCTTTATCTGAAAAAGAAGAAGAGAAAGGTTAAACATTTCGTCTAATTTATTTATTTATTTATTTATTATGCCTCTCTTGTTCTGGGCCCTCAACAGGCTTGCGCCCAATTACAGGGTGACCCGCATAATGCTATTTAGAGGTGCCTCTGCAGAAGGTCTTAAGTTGGTCTATACTACTCCGGTATTTACCTTACGAATTAGGAAAACTGCAGGAAAACCTAATTCGGAGTAGCCGGTAGGATGCTCGGAACTGATCTAAGGTAATTTCCATCTCCGCCACAGATAAAAAATTCACCTCAAACCAGGTTCGAACACCCGACCTCCGGATTTATAGCCCAACGCTCTACCACTGAGCCATAAATCCTGCAAATGATGCATACCGACTTTCTTAAAATAACATATTAACAAAGTGTAAGGTTTTCGAAAGTGCAACTCGAGAAGATTTATTTCGGTTAAAATACAATATACGAGAAGCTAATGTTACATTTATCTCCGAGAAAATCTAGTGCCTAATGGAATGACACATGACACGTAGAAAGACGAAACGTCACACTATCCCCATTTTCCAATTTTTTTGAATATTTGCTATGTTTTTGAATGCACATTTAATTTTCATATTTACATTTACGTTGCTTTGCTCCCATACCACTAGCAAAAATTCTTGGATGTTTAACTTTTTGTAAATTTGAATTTTGGAAAGAATCGTTGATTATTTTTTTTTACTTTAAGCCCTTATTTTTACGTGTGTTTTTTTAGTTTTTTTTTAACTTTTTGTGAATTTTTGTGAATTTTGGAAAGTTTTTCCTGGCTGTAATATGTAAATATAATTTTATACTTGTCCCCTCTATTCACAGCCGTATTTTATGAATTTTTCGAATCATTATTTTGATCTTAAAATTTTTGAATTTTTAATTTTTATAATTTGTCTATTTTCTTTTTTTCTATTTTCCGATGCACCTAATTTTATAGGTGTTGATTTTTTGAGTGTTCTTTAATTTGTTAAATTAAATTTTTGTACAAATTTGTCTTTTTAGATTTTTTAATTATGTACCTATATAAATTTTTTGAATCTTAATTTGCTCCATAAAGTTCCGACTTTTTAACTTTTTTAATTTTAAAAATCTTTATGAATGTTCCTATGCACCTAATTCTATATGTGTTGATATTTTGAGTGTTTTAATGTGTAAAGTTTAAATTTCCCACAAATTTGTCTTCTTTATTTATTACTATTTGTGATGTTTGCTAAATTTTTTTATTTTCAGATTTGTTTCAAATATGAATTAAAACACATCGCTTTGATACAGACGAACTAAATTTTGTTGTCTTTCTCCCTCACACTACTTCTTGGCATTACCAACGTGTACAAATTACCAACCTAGGTGGGTATAAAAAATAAACTACCGTCGAACGCACAGCTTCATTCCCTCTATTTTTCCGATTTTTTGGGGTTTTTTAAAAAAATTCCCTATACATGTGATGGTTTTGTCCATCCGTCGGTTTGTTCCTCGTCTAACTCGAGAATGATCAGTGCTATTGAATATGAACCGGATTAAAAGTCGTGTGTGCGAATGCGAGCCGAGTACCAAAAAATTCCTCTACTGAAAATCGTATGCGATGCTTCGTGTGTTGTTTTAAGTTAGTAGATAGGGCGAACCTAGCTCAGTTCAAAGTCGCTCACCACCTTGCGGTGACCTTGGAAAATAGGTCAAGGTCCGTTCGGTCATTCGCTGTTAATCATTTCGCCCTCTAAGGTGCCACGTGGTGATTTCGGAAAACGAGTTAAGGCCTTATTCGAGCAGTCACTGGCCCCTAAACTCCAATAATGTCAAAGTAAAGAAGTAGATTAAGACCTTGTTCGGTCGTCGCCCCGCAAAATGAGTGCGATATTTATCCTTCAAATAATGACTTTGACAAGTTATGTACTTTAACGATTATAAAGTTCCCACATGTGTATCGAATAATATTATGTCATGGATAACGTATGCTGCGCACTCATGAGTAAAGCAAGCGATAGCGATTCTCAGTCAACTAAATGTATTCCATAGGGTGCCGTCAAAGTAATCTAACTCTCCTACTGACGAGGAGTCCAAAGGTAGGTCGACATTAATAGTTCAAAGTTTGCTCGCCTCTCAAAGTTCAAAGGTTGGTCGCCGTTCAAGACCTCATTTTGTGGTGTCATATTTCATTTTTTAAGCTGCAATTACTCTCATTTTTGTCACATACCCTATATTTCGCCTTATGGAATTTTACATGGAGTTCAGTGAGCATATATTCGATACATATGAATGCGCGGGCTTCATAATCGGCGAGTACATAACTTTGCAAGGTCATTGTTTGAAAGGTAAATATCGCGCTCATTTTCCGGGTGAGCGACCGCACGAGGTCTTGATCTACTTGTCACTTTGACATTCTTAGAGAGAGAGAGAAAGGGTTAGGGGCTAACGACTGGTGGAACAAGGCTTTGACTTATTTTCCGAAAATTAGAAAAATGCGCTTTTAGTAGGTCACACCTGGTCGAGTATGCACATCTTCTTTTTTAGTTCAGAGGGGGGGGGGGGGGAGGGTACGTAATATACGACCCTGTCCGCCACTTTGAAATTTTTTCTGTATGACTCGTTTAGTAAAAAAAGTTAAATGAACGCTTTTACCATCGCGAAAACTCTCAGCAGCCTCGTTTTTATGTTGATTCCAATATTTATTTTATTGTATTGCTTACCCAGGATTCGAACCCAGGACCCTTGTAGCCAAAGTTACAGCTACTAAGATAAACTCATCTGAGCTACGCAGATCGGTTTAAAGAAACACAACTTCCACCATAAGATAATCTCCTTCAGGATTTCCAAATAACACCGTCAACCATAATTAGACTTGATAACGTCAGTTACAACAGAACGCGTCTCCACAACACGCCAATATGAAACGCGCAACAATAAAACACGTGCGTTAATTAAATTTCGCCGGATAATTTAAAAAAAACGACAAAATAATGCGCAATTAGAAACAATTTCAAAAGGAAAAATAGAAACTGAGATAACAAATTTAAGTAAACCAACTCTGCTTATTCGTAAATAGACACAACACTTTTTAACGCGTTGCTGTGTTGTCTTCTGTCCGTTTTGCTGTCGTAAACTACTTCTACAGCTTTCAAAATATTTACCTCGTTTTCGTTTAGGCTTTGGTATCGCATTCAAGAAAATTTGAAAGTAATCGTGGCGTTACCTTAGGTGGCCCGTTATCACTCCTTACGAAAGTCTTGCACAAATCTTTTGTTTATTTAATAGTACCAATAAGACGTCGTCAAGTACCTAGATTGTAAAGCTCTGAAATTACGCAGTACATCCGGTTGTTTAGGGTTACATAAATGAAGAGGTGGATAAAATGCTAGGGGATGGAGTGATCGATAGATCTAATTCGGTATGGGCTTCGCCAATTGTTGGAAGGATGATAGCGAGATTTTATGTCGACGGGAGACGCATATCCTCTACCCTTTATGTGGTTGATTCTTGATCGTCTTCGCAATGCAAAATATTCGCTAGATGTAAAGAGTGGGCATTGGCAAGTCCCCGTTTCTGAACAATCAAGAGACTATTTTGCGTTTACGGTTCCAGGTAGAAATCGATTTAGTTTTGTGAGAATGCCCTTTGACCTGCATAGTGCATAAAGGAAACGCTCATGAAAATCCTGAACCCTAGGCTTACGATTTGATGAGGTACTCAAGATCGGCAAAACGCAAAACTTGAATCGGAGAAGAGCGAACTCTCCAAAATCCCTGTAACCTTCTCGAGAAAACCGGCCTCGCCTACAAGTCGCAAGATCTAGACTTTTCATTTTGGATGCCTCCTCTGATTTCTCTCCGAAGCGGGTCAAAGAAGCCATCCTCTCCCAGAATTTCGGATCTGCTACCTCTGCTTGGTGGAAAAATCCTTTGGGTGGGGTTCCGGTTTGACCTGCTTGAAAGGAGTTCGTGTCACTGGTGCGACGGTGCCATACCCGAGTATCTCTTGGCTAGCCGTCGTGCATACGCCCGAGTGGAATTCCTAGCGTATAGGTATACACCATATTCGGATCGTGCAGTGCTTTTAAGTGCCAAAAATTCCGCCATAACTCTTGCGATTGTCGTAGTGAACTTCACTGCGTAGGTAGTCATAATAGCAAAGCCTGCCCGAAGCCCCCGCAAAGTGCACGAGGCTAGGACATAAGATGTTATCAAGCCTACGACTTCAACCTCGAACTGCCCTTGTTATCTGAAGCCCGTTAACTCCAAGATCGCAAACACGAATCTGGACAGTCAGAGATCTCAGGTTTGCACAAATGAATCTCCAAAATTCTCGAGTTGCGACATTTGAGGGTTTGAGATTACTTCTGACAATGGCATTGACGTCTTTTATTTTATTTATTTATTGTCCCTCTTGTTCTGGGCCGTCAACAGGCTTTCGACCAATGATAGAGTGATCCGCATAATGCTTTTTAGAGGTGCCCCCCCAGAAGATCCTTACGAATTTGGAAAACTGCAGGGAGTAGCCGGCAGAATGCTCGAAGCTGATCTAAGAAAATTCCTATCTCTGCCACGGATGAAAAATTCTTGTCTCAGCCCAGGTTTGAACACCCGACTTCCGACTGTGTAGTCTACCACTGAGCTACACAATCAGTTTCTGATCTTACTGGTGCAGGAGCCATATAAAGTGAGTTCGAGCAGTGGCTAGGCGTCGTTTCACTGAGTTATCTCATAACTGCACAGTTATAGCTATGATTACCGTTGGGAACACTCCATTCTCGCCGCCTTGGCACTCCCCGACGACGGACGCACCAGGTGCCTTACTTAAAAACCTCGTTGCCGGACGTAACCTATGTGTTGTCCGCCTACCAAACAACCCGCACACCTCCAACCACATGGGTTCAACTAACATCGCCGTGTGCCTCACATCATTCCCCTTGGCGCGCAAGATGGGAAGTCCTGGTGGACGTTGTGGCCACCGACTGATGCGATTCGATTTAACCGTCGATTT